AAAAAAAAAAAAAAGGCTTTAGTCCAACTCCCTTCCAGAGGTTAAACAAGTATAAGTAGGTACACCTTCAAACTCCATTAATTGTATTTCAACCTCCCCAGAGTGCACTTTGATATTTTATTTAAGCTGGATGGTACTGGAGTATGTGCTTTCTGCATAGCTTTCTATTTGTCAGATATAATTCATAATGAATATAAAATGGAGGCCCAAAACATACTGTTGAGTCAAAGAAAGTCAGGTTATTGAACAGCAGGTACAGTTATGTTTCCATTTATGTAAAATTGTAGACTTATACGCATATACGTATACATACATCGGGAAATAGCTAGAAAGATGTTCACTAATTATTTCCACAATGACTATCGCTGGTTCCCTGGCTTTAAGGCCATTTTTCTCTTTTCCTTCTTCTTTGTGGTCTTCTGCGTGGTCTGAATTTTTACAGTGTTCATGCGCAGTGGTTTTCTACAAATCACAGAACCTCGTAGAGGATCTTCTGCCCTACACAGTCACGTAACACCCGCAAGAGGATACGCTGGAGTCACGGCCGGATTATGAGGCGAGGCCAGGGGAGCAGAACTCCACCCATGTCTTCTTCCTACTAAAAAAATCAGACTGAGAGCAACTATAGAAGTTGCTTCTACGGCAGCACTCTCACACCTAAAAGGCAGAGAGAAGGGAAGGAGACAAAAACCAAGGGAAGGACCCTCTTCATGTGCCTCCAGACCCATGTGACCTATTGTCCATTCCCCCCCAGTACAGCAGTAGTCCTAAGTAAAGGGACTGGTAGGTCCTCTCTCGTGTCAATGCCCATTGTGTCTTTGATGGCGGTCAAGTATGTAGGGGCCCCCAGAGGCCTGGCCACAATTCCAGACTGAACCTCTTCCCTGGAGACTGACTGTGGACAGTTTACACCTACAAACCTTATTCACTTGGATCATAAAACAGAAGCAACTCTTTAACACCTGCCTAATAAGAGTACTGCTTTGCAGGTTAAATGAGGTCAAACCTGCAAGACCCTTGAGTAACACCTAGCGCTTAGCAAGTGATCAATAAGCGGGAGATGTTGTGTATTTCTTAGAACAGGAGGCCAGCACAGCAAGCTTTGGACTTGAAACACTCCCACCATCACCAACAACTGCCATCCCCGTGGCTGGCCTTCAACCTCTGACGTCTTGAACTGCTTTTCCCAGCACTTCCGAACCTCCAGCCCCAGTCCTAAAGGCCCTCCCCTGACCTCTGCCATCAGGGCGCCCTCTGTCCCACACTCACCTATTTAGCATGTTGGACTGGTAGATTCTCTTCTCATGGGTGTTGTAACAACTGCTCTTGGGCTCTGGGATGAAGCTGTGTTCAGACAGCATGTCAGAAGCAGCAGTGGTGATTATGGCAATCCCATCCCTCACCCTGGCAGGGAGGCCATAGTCCCATTCATCATAGGACACAGAGATGAGCCCGGTGGGGAACTCCGAGGGCACCGTGTCTGTATCCCCTGCCACCAGACTAGGCACAATCCATGTGTAGCCGTAGCCAGTCAGCCCTACGGAGTTAGCGACTTCAAAGATGTAGGTGGCTTCTTCCTTAGTACAATAAAGAAGAATGATGGGACTTTGAAGCTTCTTAAGCTGGTTCTGGATCTTAGAATCTCCATCATCCAGGGACATGTCCAGCAGGAGGACTTCCTCTAACTCCCAGCCCACGAAGCTGTTCTCGATGGTGCTGCGAATCTTGTTTACAAAGTCCTGGTAGCCGGGGAAGTAGGTGGTGACGATAGAAAAGATGTACCAGTCGTACTCTTCCATGATATTGAGCATTACAGAAGCTTGCTGTTCAATTGATGGGCCAAACTGGAAGAACATGGAGGATTCATCCTAGAATAGTAAAAAGGTAAAAAAAAAAAAAAAAAAAGAAAGAAACCAAAGATGGTAAGGGAGAGCCTGAATCAATTGGATACAAAGGTTTGTGTTCATTGTTTACTTTTTCACATGCCTTTTAAAATGGGGTGTTTGAATTGCAAGCATTTCTAACACCTTTCTTCCTAAAACTACCTCCTAGATTTGAAGGGGAAAATCAACATAGGTCTATATTCGCATTGTCTGAAATCCTCGGAGCACAGGGAAGCTTCCCACAATCAAATATGTGAATATTTCTATTGCGACACACATAAAGAGTCGCCTTAAGGGGGATAAAGACTCTAAATGGCCTCACATCAGTTTGGGTCAGGTTTCACTGCCAAATGAGTTCTAGGGATACACACACTTTTCATTTTTTGAGCCTTTTGAACTCATCACAACTGTGGATGTGTATCACTCAGAGTGAATAAATGGGAATGCCATCCATCTACGCTTAAACCTATGGGCAGAGGCGGTATAACCCTGGCCTAGCAGGTCGGTGGTAAGCACATGGGACTGTAAGATTGGGTCAGTGTATTTTCTACCAAGAGATAACTGTTGAATTAACAGCACATTGAGTTTTCCGTTTTCCACTGTGATAATGAGATATGCAAGTTAGAGTAAGACGCAAACAGTACATCTAAGCTACAAGTTAGAAGGTCTTGGATTCAAGCTCATGTATGATTAGGGTTTATTTTAGAGCTGCACATAGAAGATTATTCTTCCTCTTACCTGTCTAATGCCACGGTCTCAGTCTCACCTGTGTATTATACACATAACCTTCTGTCAATTCTGAGAATCTTATGTTTTCTCCCTCCTTTTGAGGGAGAAGCCATTTTAAATTTCTTCCATTTTAAGCTGTATTTCACCTGCTGTTCTGACATGTCAAGTCCTGCATTTTATCTCTGCCTTCCAGCTAGAAGAATCCGAAACAACAAGATGAAGACCCTCTCGGCATTGTCCTTCTTTCTCAATCCATTTTCCCCTGACTTCCTCCTGGGTAATGGCATCTCTTTTCTTGTCAGTGCCCCAATCTTTTATCCGATGGTTCATCTCCATTTTATAACAATCCAGGTGAACAAAATTGTGTCTTTCTAAAAGGGGCAGTTCTTTTCTATCCCCCAGACTAGAGCTTCAAAGTACAGTCACAAGAGACCAGGCTTTTAAACAAAATTATACAGCGATTTCTTAGTTCAGGAACATATTCTTATACAGCCGAGAAATTGCTGAGTATTTGGGGGGCACCCACTATTGAAAAAAATACAGGTTGGGAAATAGCCAGCTGGTATCCAGAGACCCTGATCCGGCAATGAAAGCCACCAGCCCCTTGGCTCTGCCAGAGCTATGATTGCTTCATGTGGCTTGAACTTTTCACATTTCCCACAGGCAATCCAGAAGGAAACAGTAGACAGTCATTTGAGGGCAATTCTTTCTGCTAGGGGTAAAATGGTGCTTATCATAGCTCCCTCCTCTGGCTTAAACATACGGTCAGAGAGGAGTCTCATAGGACCAGGGAATTCAGAGAGGTAGAGCGTGTAGGGCAGGAAGAACGGGTGGGGAGGAGTGGGAATTCATTCAGAATAAAATAAGGACTTCATGTGTGCTTATTCCAAACTGCGGCCAGCCCCTGCCCCCTGACCCACCTGCCCCTGGTCTCCTACTACAACACAAGTACTATTCTTCAGGTAATGCTGGCTTTGTCCTTAGGTTATAGGATTATAGGGGGATTCCAGGACAACAAAGTTTAATTATTCCAAGACTTGTCAGGGGTCTACAGAGAACCACAACAGGAAAGGAAGGGCAGCGACAGAACCACCCACCCTGAAAGGCTTTAGAGGAAAAGCTATTTGTTTTCCTGTTACTTCCAAACAATGTTTCATTGGAGGATTCCCAAAATTCCCTTTTTCCACTTGAGTTTTCGCAAAACCTAGTGGATGTAACAAAGTGACAAAAGCTTCTGAATATACCTTAAAATGTACAGGCTAAGGGTGAAAGGAATCCCAATTGTAAACAAAGGAATTTAACCTGTTTTATGATAAGGGAACATATCTTATCACAAGGAGGTTCTTGAATACCCACAACTCTCCATCTATTGTGAGACCCCAGCTGGTTCAAATACACAGGGAGAGATGGCCCTGAGAAATAATCCATGAGGGTCCATAGTAAATGAGCCTATGGTAATGAAAATAAATTTAAAAGAAAACCAATCTAGTATATACCAACCCCACCCTCTTCTCTCTTAGTCTTCTCTTAAAACCCTCTCACAATTATAAATGAGCTCCTAAAGAAACTGCCAGCTACTATGTAAAGAAACCCAATAATATAAGGTGAAAGTAAGAAGAGAGAAAAACTAATGTGGCTCCAGCTCACCCCCACCATACCCTCCTCTTACCTAATTCTACCATCCTCCACAATCATCCTTTCTGACTCCTCTCCCCCATCGATGCCCCGTTCAACTTTTTATCTTACCAATCCTTCATTAAATAAAGGATGCCTTACATGACCATTTTATCTGTGGCATCAAGAAGAGGTTAATGAAGCCAAACAGAAATCAGGAGACAGAGTTATAGCTTGGGCAAATGTTTTCTGGTATAATGAGTGGTCCAGTGTTATTAATTTAGTTGACATATCAATCCGGTATACAGAAGTCGGGAATGGGACAGCTCTTTTTCAACAAAGCTTTGGGCTAACTATAAGTTGCAGGCAGTGACAGGCTTTGCAAATTATGGCCAAAGCCACAAATCAAAGAGCAATCTTCATGTGTGCATGGAGTGGAAAGGACTGGTGGCCACGCATCCATCTTTGCAGGCACCCAGCCTGCATTGCGATCACCACAAGAAGTGTCATCTTCTAAGATGAAGGACAGGGACATAATTCAGTTTGCAGCTCACTATGCTTCCCCACTTACATTTTTATCTCCTAATGAAGATTCCCAGTCACATTTATTGCATGAATGTATGTCTTCACCTTGCCGTTTGAGCATCTGTAAAGCATTTGTGTATAAAGGGCCACCATGACTGAGATAATTAACACAGGGAAGATAGAATTGTACAGTAGACCCCATCTGTCTAGAACCATTATTTTGAACCCCCCATCACTTTGATGTTCGTGGTATTTATTTGCTAATAAGAAACAAAAACAAGTCCTTTTTCATTCTATTATCGGTCCCCAAAATAGAGTTAACAGTATGGGAGATTTCTCTTTTGCATCCCCCAGATCCCCTACAGACCCACTTCTGAAATGAAGGATTAACTACTGAAGCTGCTGCTAATGCCCCTGGCAATAGATTTTAGCTGTCAGACCACTTTGGGAATTGTATCAACTGGAGAGAACCACCTTGCCCAAATTCATGCCCCCTTTCCAGGATAAACTGCCCTGAATGACTGCTGGTCATGGAGTAGAAAGACCTTGTCCTCTTGCCCTGACTCTAGACACCTCTGAAGGATCAGTCGATTTTCAGAACTTCCCACAGGGTTGGCTGGAGCTTCCATTAGAACGGCATCACACCTTTCCTTCTCCCTCTGCCCACTCCTGCCCAATCTTCTCTTTGCATGGCGATGAGCTCAAGAACACTCCCTAATACCTCCTGTATGTTCACCTTGGTCTCAGGGTCCGCTTCTCAGGGAACCCAACCTGAGACTATTCAGTTCCCTTTTTCAAAATGGAAGAGAGATGGTCTTAAAAAAAAACATGATATCTATTTTCAAACACTGAAATGGCCTATATGTTAGAAAGACAAGTCTCTGCCCATTAGTTCCAGAGGAGAAAGCTGGGACTAATGAGTAGAAATATTAAACATCATTATTCGATTCAATAGAAGAAACAGGTGTGCAACAATTATAGCTATTTAGAATGGAATGAAACTCATAAGGCCATGAGCTCTCTGTTGCTATAAGCATTTGAACAGGAGCTGGATTATTATTTGATAAAGAGATTCTCCCCAGCACTCTGCCTGGAAAACATCACGCTCACCTTTATGGTCTAGTTCAAGTGTCAGGTTTTCATGCATATCCTCTTTCCTAACTTCCCCAGGTAAGTTAGTTCTCTTTGCCCTGTACTTTCACAAGAGTTGGTATATGCCTCTATCTTAATATTTATCACACAGGAAGCATACATGCCTCTCTCCTCCCACTAAAAAATATGTTTCTCAAGAGCAGGAGCTGTGCCTTATTCATCTCTGGATCCCTAGGTGGCATAGGAAAAAAAATGGTTTTGTATTAATATTAAAAAAGAAGGTTCCTTTATTGGGTGAGAGATTACTGAAATAACCGATGGTCTCATCTGGTTTCAAATTTCTATGCTGATGGCATATATTGACCTCATAGAAATCAGCTATGCCTGAATAGTTATATATATATAAACCACTCTATTATAAAATGTGAGGGATCCCACTTGGGGCCAGGTAGACAGGCAGAAAATACTAATGGCCATTTCCTTACTCCTCTGCCACAGATTTCTTGAAAACATCATCTATACTCACTTCCTCCAATTCCTCTTCTCCCATTCTGTATTACACTAACTCCAACCAAACTTTCAACTTCACTAGAACTCCTCTTGTGAAAGGCAGAGGTGACCTTGATATTGCCAACTCCAATGTCCATCTGCAATCACTGTTAGAGTCACTAATGTACCCTCTAGATTGAGAAGACACTTTAATGCCGAAAAACAAAGCAAGCCATTCCATACCATTTACACAGAGTTCTGTTCAGAGTAATTTATGGAGAGGAATGTGCAGACAGATGATGCACAGCACTACATAGCTCTTCTCCATCCTTATCCAGACCTCAGTCCCCAGCTTTTGTGGAGTGAGGAGCATGATGATGAGGTCACAGGGTAGTTATCTAAAGTGGGGCTATCTGTGCACCAGAGGGGACCTCTACTAGTTATCTCAAGGGGTGCCTGCCACCTGGGCACCAGAGGGGGGCACAAGGCGTGGGGCCAAAGATGGAGTCAGTGTTGTCAACACTCCTGCACTCATC